TGTGCCCCCCCCCCCGGGGGGGGGGGGTGATTTCTCGCTTTCTATCTCTCTGTCTCTCTCTGCCTGTCTGGCAAGCGCACGCGCCCTATAGCAAAAACCTCTCCAAAAAAAAAAGTTACATAATAATGACCTATAGAATATCCTTTAAAAGAATATATGAAGTGAGCCAGCAGGTGGCATGGTAGTTAAGGTGCTGGACTCTCATATGGCCAGCTGCAGTTTGAGTCCCAGACCTGGTAGCTTGAAAATCACACTGGGTACATGTGCATGTGTTCCCAAAATCTCAAGAGGAGAATGGAAGAGAAGGGATTGTGATGTGGCCATCCCCCTGGGTGGCGATTTCTCACTTTCCCTTTCACTGTCCTTCTCTGGGTCTCTCATGAGCACACACAGCCTATGGGAAAAACCTAAAAAAAAATGAAGTATTGTGTTTTGGCAAAAAAATTTTAATTGATTTTGTTTCAACAAAAAAACTTAATGTAAAAAATTAAAGGAATATAATGGCATATGTTGTACTAAATTTAACATTATTATTTAAGAAAGAGTGAATTGCAATATAGCAGCTAATCTGAGAGCAGAAGAAAATAGGAGAAAAGTTTTTAAGAAAGGATAGGGAAATTATCCAACATTTGTATTTATCCCATAAGTAATGCTTCCTTCAAGCAGCAAAGGATGATTAAGATTTAACCATTAGCTCATATAAATTTCGACTTTTTTGTGAATCCTAAGTACTTATATTCAATTATCAAGTGTAATTGGTAATTTACTGCATTGCAGAATAGCATAATGTGACTGTCTTCAACTGATGCAATGTAGCCACAGCCATCCCCAAGCTGGTACTCAACATTATCTGTTCAAACACACGATGGCATATTTACTCCTGGTACATGTTTGTGTTGATCGCATGATATCGCTGTATTTAGTTGTAAATTGTTTTGGCAGAAAATTTGTAAAGGAAAGAGATCAATTGATTTAGGACCATAAGGCTGACTTTTAGCTGTAGCTGCTTCTAAGAAAGCTTTGGTAGTATTATAGCACTCCCTGTAGAATTCTGTAATAGCTGAAGTGTCATGCAAAACAGTTTGCCATTTGTTATTATAATGTAATAGAGACATACCTTATGGGGATGAGGTTAGAAAAAGACTTTTATATGATTACATCATATGTGATAGATGCTAACAATTTGTGCCTATTATGAGAACTGTTTTCCAAAGAGAATTCTTGATAAATTTTTGCAATTGCCCTTCTGTGGATATATATAAATATAGCTAATACTATGTCATAAATATAAATAAGAAACTTAGAGATAGGCAAGAGAGATTTAAGATATGTCTGGATAGAGCAAATTAGAATTTGTGCATATTTGCTTAAATATGGTTTCATTTTGACTGAAGGATGCCTGGGAAAGTGGGAAAAAAAAGGACAATTTGGAAAATATTTACTAGTATTATAATCTATGCTTTTGTGATCTCTGGGCTAAATTATTGAAAGTCACACAAACAGAGATTAGAAGAATATTCCTTAGATATTAGAGCTGGAATAATATATAAATAACCCAAGATAGCCTGAGAATTATTAGGTATTTAGTGAGTACTACATCTCAACTCTTAAAGTTCAGGTCACAAGGTAAGTAACAGGCCCTGGTACTACCTCTAACAATAGATTTTGGAGTTGATAAACCGAGACTATGGATTCTTCAGAAATGAAGGGTGTCAATTTCTTTCTGACTTCAGTAACTTTGGGGCTAATCTTACCCAGAAAGAGTTCAAAAGCTCTGCTAAAGTCTGATAGTTACTATACTATACAGATGGAGGGAGG